CACCGATGACCGGTAAGCAGACAAGGAGTCGATCACTGCGTTCACCAGGGCGTCCCGAGCGTCGCTCAGCGTGGCAGACACTGATCTGTCCACAGCTAAAAACAGAGCACAGAGCTCAAGTAAGAGCCTTTTCCTCCCTTGGCAGGAATACAGTCACGTACGTTAACTCTTCTCACTTTATTGTATACTTTGATGCATCCCAACAAGCTTTTACTGCATTCCAGAGGAAGTGATTCAGAAAAAAAGCCAGGGGCCTGTGATGATGCACCAGACTAAGCCTAAGTCCAGGTGACTACACACAGCTCTACTGATACTTAAGCTAAGCATTAAAAACAATACTCTTAGGCTTTCTACTTAGAAAGTACTCTTAGAAAGAGGGAATATTTTCTTCTAAAAGATTTTTCTTTTTTTTTTTTTTCTTCTCCTAGAGGATTATTGCTCAGAGTTTTAAGGATGGGATCCATGCATACCCACACAGGCTCTGAGCACACTTACCCATGTTGGCCAAGAGCCCAGTGATGGCCTGCACGTCTGCCCCCAGGTACACATCACTCAGTGTTGTCACCACAGGTAAGCACATGGTGTGCACACGAATTCGTCTTTCACCTGCAGGAAAAGAAAACCGTTGTCTCCCAACATACTTGTTTTATGAAATACTAAAATGCCACTGTTTGCTCAACCTAGTTTATCATACAAATGGTGAATCAGGCCATTTTCAATAGCCCTTAAAATGATTAGTTCTCAGTTTCTAGGTTAAGCCTACTTATTTTCAGACCAAAACTATGTTTCCCAAGAAACTTCTCGGTCTGAAAGAAGCAACGACATTAATGACATACCCAAGCTGTGATCCTGATATTAAATAAGGCAGTTTGAGTAAGTTACTGCAGCTGAAAAATGGACACAAAGACTCATGTGAACACTGCAGGTGACACCACCTGTACATCTTACCCTTGCTGGACGTGTACAGGAGAGCTGACTGGAAAGAAACAACTTGCATATCAGTCAGACTCTCTTCCACGGACATTTGCACGGCGTATCCCGCGTCTGGGTTCACGTTGGGTAATGACAACAAGTCTGTGGATCTTACAAAGAAGTTCCCATGGAAAGTATGGATGGAAAGCCCTGCAAGATAAGCAAGTATTAATTCAATTTGGGTTTCATAGCTGTGAAATACAGACACTGTTTACACACGTGCCACCAGCGTAGATGGCTCTGTGTCAGAATGTTCCCTCTCAGTGAAATACAGTATCTGCAGAAAAGGCAAATATCCCAAACACACAAGTAATCCAAAGAATCCACACAGCCTAAGAGAAAGCAGGAATTAGCAAGGCAAATCAACACATAACAGTAGAAAGTCTCTAGGTTTTAAAAGGTCCCTTGCTGAAATAGCAGTCCAACAAAATTTCCAGTTTAACCATTGTAAAATGGAACTTAGATGCCAGAAAATATACAGTCTTTAATAAATTGTCTGATCTCTGGTATTGAATTTTACTTTTCTAATCTCTACCTTTTAAGCATTTAAGCTTACAAATCAGCTAAAATACCAATCAAAACATTCCCAAAAAACAGCAAACACCCACTTCCTCTCCGCCCCAAAAATCTAAGAAAGTGAACTCAAACCTTTTGTGCATCTTATCCTCATGACAGCCTCAAACCCAATTTTTCTAGTTAGATATCGTTTCAGCTCCTTTTGCAACTTCTCCACCTGGACAGGGTTGTGTTTATGATGGTAAGACTGGTAGTAATAGACACTACCTGCAGAATACCTGGATATACAACCTGAAACAAAACCAGCACACATTGGAGAGTGCAGACAGTTGCTGCAGCCTTTAAATATACCAGCTGAATGCAATATTCCCTTTAATTATTAAACTGCAAATCACTCTGATAAACAGTTATAGACCTGCATACAGAGACACAGATATAACACAACTATATCTTTAAGTATGTGTGCAGTTTCAGGTGGGAAATAATTTTCCACTGACCTGAAATTGCAGGTACTTGGTCACTTGATAGTTTAGTTAAATGGAGAAGAAAATAATTAAAATGCTAATAAAACTTACTCTAAAGACAATTACACTGATGGTTAAAAGGCATAAAAAGGAGGAAAGTATTTCAGCCACTTATACCAGTATCACAAAAATCCTGACTCACTAAGGGATGATATGAAAGTAACTTCTATTCTAACTAAACATCATTCTATTCACTGTCACTGCTCAGCAAGGATGAATTTGCATCTTGACACATTAGATTAGTTCAAATCAGGTTCATACACTAAACTTTAATGTACACTAAACATTTGCCAAAAGTACAAGAGTTACACACCCCTCAACAGCTTTATATGACTTACCTAGAGAAGCCAAGTCAGAATACTGCCCACTAAGAAGAAATAAATCCACTGCAACCTGTTGCCCTGAGCAGTCCAAGGCTAACTTCTTGTAAAAATCAGTCGATGGTGTCAGGTGTATGTCCTGTTAATACAGGGCAGAATTAAAAAATACAAAGGAAATTCAAACAGATTTATTGCCTGTTTTCAGGGGCACAAATAACTGATTCTCCATCACTGATTACAGCAATATCTTAAAAAAAAAAATCAGATAATTAATCTGTGTTTATATTGCCTGGTTGGCTTTTTTATTCTTTCTACCAAGAAAACCACAAAATTAACCTGGAACAGGCAATCCCAGAACCACCCACATGCACAGAACAGGGCTGCCAGTTCCCCCAACCTTTTTTGCCTTCCTAACCTTTGCAGTTGCTCTTTGGTTTGGCTCTTCTCGTGGCTTCAGTGCTCCCATTCCCACAGTGGGAAGCTGCGTCTGGAAGACAGTGATTCTACCTCCAGTGGGGGACATCAGTTTAAAGGCAGCCTGTAATGCAGGCCCCAGAGCACTCTGAGTTTCCAGGGACTTGGTAAACATCTGTGGCAAGGTCTTCAACAGATCTTGAATTAGCTACAAGTGAGGAAACACAAATATTAAGTCTTGGAGTCTTCAGAGTTTTCTTCTTTCTAGAGCTGATTGCTGAACTACCTAACTGTGTATTAACACTTCTAATATTAAGGTAGTAAAGAAAAAGTCCTAGAAAATTGAAGTACTGCCTTGTTTGAAGTTGGCCAAAGTTTACAGATGAAACCTCTCTTTTCTGTCTCAAACCTGGCATTTGAACAGTAGGTGTTCAAGAGCGTTAAGTAATCCAAGAATTACCAAACATATCCCAAACTATGTCACTAGTTACTTAAGATAGTTCTTAGCTCTTACCTCTTTATTTTCATTTAAATTTACTAATAAGTTTTCTGGCATTGGTATAAATACATCTGGAAGGGAAAAAAAAGTATTTCAGTTATCTTTAAAGAACAATTCCCTGACTGCATTTGCCAACCATTGAAAAAAGCACAGGGTGTCAGTGTATAAACCCATGTAAACACAATTCTGTGGATTTCTTTTTTTTTCCTCATAAGCATTCCTGTGGCTAGAATGCTATGTTAGAGTAGCAATCAACTGGGCTGAAGGATAATCAAGACTATTAAGTAAAACCACAGTGCAAATAATTCCAGTGTTCATTCCACCCTGCCCCACAACATGCTGAAAGATGACTTGAAACAAAAGGCAGCAGGACAAGCACTAAGCACCAGTCACCAGGAAATCTATAGAAATGTACCCAGCATCAGTATTTGGGACCTCAAGAGAAATCCAGATAATTGTCCAAATTAAACCAGGAGTTAGGAAGGCTGGTTGCACGTTTTAAGTCATGAGCAGCCCCAGCACTGCTCAGGGAGACATCAGGGAGATGACTTCATAAAGGAACACACACATGTGCTACTCCTAAAGGCATTACCAGAGAGATTAATGATCTGACCTACAAACTCTCACAAGATATACATATTTTTAAAGGCTGTCATAACAGGCAGTCATTAGTAGATACTAATCACAGAATTTATTTCTGCATACCTTCAATATCTGAAACTATAAGCATCTGAGGCTGAGAGAGACCTTCCTGAAGGCTGTAGAAATGGATTGTGCTGTCAAATGTTATGAAGCCTATTTTTGTTCTAGTGTTCCCAGGAAGCCTGAAAATGAGACATATGGTGTTCAACAAGATGAAATTTCATTTCTGCAGGCTTTTTTTTATTTTTAAACATCCACTGCATCTCTCCATGGTTATTACAAAGTAGCTTCACAGCTACACTGCAAAAGCTTGACTAAGTCATTGTGGAGATTAAAAAAAAAAACAACAAACAACAAAAAAGTAGCTCATAGCAGAGTCACCTAGCAGACATGCAGGAACCTTAAGAGGGCAATCAGAAATGGAAAAGGGAGAAATAAACTGCAAAATACCAAGCAGCATTTATATATGTTCAAAGAGCATGTATTTTATGAAAAGTTTATTAGCTGTATGACTTCTTTCAGCAAATGCTTATCTAAATTTCAGCTTTTAAAAAATACAGTTCAAAAGATCTCATAAACATGACGTTTATATTCTTTTGGGGATTGGTGAAGCAGATAGGAGAGTCAGACTGAAAAACACGCCTCAGAATTATCTTTTATACTGGTGCAGCTGTGATGGGAAAAAAGACTGCAGCTTTATGGTCCATTTTAACACACCACTGGCCAACACCAGGATATATCTCTTCTAGACAGGAAGGACTGGCATGTTGGTGTCTATTACAAGTTTCTTAAGAGGAATGAAAATAGGAGATTTTAAGAAAAAAAGTACTTACAAGTCAAGATTGTCTAACAAGGTCTGGCAGACTGTATTCAAGTATCCTGTCTCAATTGCATTGTGAGAGACATCAAACACAAAGAGGTACACGGGTGGCTGAGGTGGACGCAGCTGAGCAAAGAAAAGATTACCTTTAATTTTCAAATAACACTCACTACGTTAGGTTTGTTCATTCCACTGCAAGTTTAAACTCTTAAAACAGCACACAGATGACAGCTAAAACTTCTGAATGCATCTGCCTCTCATTTGGTAATAGAGAATTCCAGTTTTCTTCCAGAAGATCTACTAATACCTACATATTTAAATACAGAACAACTCTGACATCATAATTGTTTAGAAGTGAACTATCTGAAGTTCACCCTAATAGTTCTCTAATACACTACTTGAAGCAAAAACTGTTCTACTGAGCTGGAAAGCATCTTCTGTAACAAAGTTTTTTCTGACTTCCCTCTGAAAACAAAGCAAAGGGAGAGAATAACTAAAAGTAACTAAAAGTAAATAAAGCCTTACCATGTATTCAGATGGAGCCATAAACTCAATAGTAGCATTCTGGACTTCAGGTCTTTTATGAGGTTCTCCATAAACTCTTGTCACAGGATTATACAGGAATTCTTCGGGAACTATGCAGGTAAGTTTATATGTTAGTATTTCACACTGGTACTGGCTGTGCTGCATTTTAAAACACATATATCTTTTGTAGCTGTTGGGCAACACTTCTTGGAGAACTACACTAGGCAGGGCAGCTATTTTGTCACCTGAAAGGATACTCTGGGGGACCACTTGGGCTTACTGTGCTTCTCTAGTGACACCACTGCCATTGGGAAACACTTCTCACGACTCACAGCCCAGCAGGACTCGCAACAACCCCAGCACTGACTTGGCCAACAAGTAACAGTCTCAAAGGCCAAGGTAGGAAAGGTGAACTGTAACCCTTTAAATCAATAAGCACATTTAAAACCTACCATCATTCACTCTATAGCACAAATTGCATTTCCACCTCCTTTGGTCTAGAAAGCTGACAAAAGGGTTAATGTAGGTCCGGCAGGAACGGCATCTCACGATAATACTGGAAGTGACCACTGGCAATTGCTGGAAGAGAGAAGCTTCCTGTTTTAAAGCATCACCACACTGCAGCTATTCATCTACAGCAACAACACTGCTTCCTGGCTAGCTGCTCAAAGCACTCTTGTGGAAGGAAGGAGCACTTCTGCATCCTCACAGCATCCCTACAATTCCTTAGTGTAACAGGTAGGAACTGAGCTCTAACATATTTGATTGGGTAGGTTTCCTTTCCAAGCCTCTAAAGTCTTGAATTTTATGATGGTTTAAGACCAAGTCCTACACCCACTATAGATCAAAAATCAGGGGCAGAAAAGCCAATTAATTAAATTGTAAAAAAAACCCAACAGCGTTTAAAAGAGGCACTGTTGAATTCACAGTCTATCCAAGGACATCCAAACCCCTTTGACTTTGTCAAGTCTTAACTGAGTTTAGAATTAGTACTAGGTTTGGTATAGGAAATCAATAACTACAACTGATATGTGACAAGATAAACTGGAATTTAGATGTGTTGTCTTCTGTCACAGTTCCAGGGCTGTGCTGTCTCTATACTTTTGGTTTTTTAAGGTTTGAGAGTTGGGTTTTTTCATTAAGAAGTGGTAGGGAGAAATAATTTAGGAAAATTACAGTGATCTGGATGGAACAGGGAAATGTCAGTTACTATGGTAATTTTTCTGGGCCAAGATACCTGCCCTTGTTTTATAATTCACTGTCCAACTCTGGACTCTGGTAAAGGCACAGTTGATATTTCAGCAGTTGAAAGTTTTGAATATTTGTCATACCGATAAGTCTTTGAAAGGATGAAGCAGGAGCCCCAAAGGAAGTTTGGCTTTATTCAATAAGGCCTGAGTTTGAGGAATGTTAGTCAGGGTACAGCGGAACAACCTACATGGAGGACAAAGGGTTATTTTCAGAGGCTTTCAGAAAATAAATTATGATTTCAGTAGTACAGTATATTTTTCTAGAGCTGGTGATGGTGAATTTCCATTTCCAGATAAAGGATCTTCTCCATCTCTGTCACATCATTTTGTTTCTCTGAGCTTGACACATAAACCATATTTTGAGTTCTTATGTTATTTTATACAAATGCTCTTTACACTGAGTTGAGTGTTAGTTTAGTCACTTAAGTCAAAGTTAAGCCTAACAACTTTCAAAGTTGCACCAAATCTTTATATATGAAGCGTTATTTTGGAATAAATCAGAACCAGCAAAGTTTAAAAAGTTGTTTTAAAACTTGGTAACTAAAAACAACCCCACAGTCATTTTCTGAGGGTTCAGCACTCGGGTGTTTCTGCAAAGAGCAGATGTGCATGGCAGGTTTGCAAATCCAGTCCAGCTTGTTTGCATGAACAGCGTCCCAAAGGCACTGTTGTTTCCTCTGTCATAAAAAGATTTGCAAAGCAGGACTACCTGGCTACACACAGTTTGGCTGGTCTCCTCAGAGAGATGACTTGAATAACCAACTGCCAGCCTTTTGTCTGATATTTCATTTATTCTGTTGTTTTAAAAGGTTACCCATATTTCTGCATTCACAATCTTTTTGGTGTACCTCACTTGAATTACTTAATTCCTATTTTATATCTTTTCTCAATCATACTACCAGCTATAATGTTTTTGTACTCCACCTATCTATAGCTGCCTTGCAAGCAACATATTTTCCCTCATACTTTCTACACAAATAATTTTCCCAACTTCAAAGTTAAACCCACTTACTGCCTTTATCTTAACACAATGAAGACCAACTTCAATATTTCCTACTCACAGAGTTAAGGAAATAGTTTGTAAAGTTATGTTTACAAGCAGAAGTTTATACTTCTATTTATTTTGATGAATTATAGCAAACAGACAATCTTACTCAGGATTACAGTTGAGCTTCTGGATGTCTTCTTGTAAGTTTGGGACAGGAGCCTTCAGGAGGGTCGTAGGAAGAATATTCCTTTCTTGAAGAAGATTCACAGGTCTTAACCCTTCTTGCTGTAGACTCAGGCCACCCATTGATGCAGTTAAGTGGTTAGTGCCCAGGGCAGGCTACAGTCAAATAAAAATTCAGAAATTAACACCAATTATTTGGCTGAAACCCACAGTTCATTTCAAAAGTAAACATATTTCCCTTTCAGTTTGTTTTGTTCATGTATTAACTGCCATTGTATTGATATATTTAGAATATTACTTGTTACACAAACTTGGACTTAGACATGTAACATGGCAGAGGTAAAAATTTGTTACATTTGCTACAAAGCTCTTGAAATGTTGCTCAGGTCGCTTTCAAAGTTCAGCAAAAAAACCCCAAATACTTCAGCTGACAATGAGAACACAAGGGAAGAGAAACATGCCAAAAGCAGCTGAAAGAAACATCCTGAACAGATGTGAGGATAGAACACTTCAGATAGAGCTGGCACTTCAGAAAGGCACAGGCAAAAGCATTAATTCAGGCTACATCCATCCTCTTAGAACAAATGGTGCTTAAACAGGGAACCACAGAACCAGCACCTTAGAGATGTACAACACACACCAATCATCCCTTTTCTTTACCCACACACACAGGTAGTACTGAGATTAAAAACCAGACAGTCTTTACCTGGTGGAAATGTTTTGATCCATCTGGATATTGCAAAGCAGCTCCGTGCATTCCTGGTGCTCCAGGAGGAGAAGGATGTTGGTAGCCTGGGGGTAAGGCAGGGTAAGAATACCCAACGCTTCTATTCATCTTAAGATTCGGGGCAGCAGGAGAATGATGTGGAGTTGCTGAAAGCAGAGCAGACAAAGACTTAATTGCTGAGGAACTGTATCTTACTCAGGGCATCAGTACAGCTGGAGAGCTGCTTTAGTTTCTAAGTGTAAATATTACAACTACTGTCAATTCTGCAAAGTGCTCTCACCTGCTTTGTGTGTTACAGGCAAAGACATGCTAACTGTCAATGCTTCAAATTTCATATTTAGCTTCCACACAGGCACTGAACCAAGTACATATGTTTGTACATAAATGCTTAAACTTCTATCTTTCCCAGACTCTTAAAAGTTACTGTTTTTTACTCCCCAAGCCTTACCCATGAGGCCACCACCTTCTATTGCATCGTAGCTGTTTTGCACCACAGACCCATCACTGGCAGCAGATGCAGCATCACCTTTGAAGGAAAAGGATCAGAAAAAAAATTCACAAGTTATGAAGATGTTTTAATGAGTTAACTGCAAAACAATCCTACTTGCTGGATGAATATTTAGGTGAGCATAATTTGGATCTACTTTGGTTTTGTCCCAGGACAAAACTGAATTAAATAAACACTTTGGCCTCTTTCTCACCCTTCCTTTGTGACCTCAACAAAGAACATATATAAAACCTCACAATCTTTTTTCAAGGTTCAACCACCTTCTGCGATTCCTTTCCATCAGGTGTTTGCCATAACTTTCCACGCAGTAAAGGGTCAGGGGACAGCTTAGGTACTGAGTTCCCTGACAAACTTTTTCCACTGATAATTCACAGAAACACCAAATTCCCTTCACTTACACACTTGGTCCAGTATTGGTCACCAAACAGCAACAGTTCTGATAGGGTCACATATCAGTCAAGACAGAAATTCCATCTGAGATAAGAAAACCTTGAAATTGAGAGAGTGCTCCCAAAGGACAGTTTCTGGTAAGCTAACTATGTCTAAATATACAAACACAATTATCTATCGCTAAGGAGAAGTAGGTTCTCAAATTATTTTTATTATCATTAAAATCTTCAAAGATGACCCAATAAAAAGAACTCACATCATACACTGAATCTTGCAAGAATGCAGCAGTCAACCTGCTTCCTAGACTAAACATTTTTATTTCTCCAGGGCTACGAAAATGTTTCTTAATTATGAAGAAAATATTTTCTAAGCAAAAGCTGTTTCTAATGCATTTAATACATTCTAAATTAAGCTAAATCTGAATCTACTATTCTTGTACTCACACAGCTACCACACACAAGAAACTGTCAATCTAACATGCAAGGAACCAACGGCTCTGACAGAATAAACTATATATGTAAAAATAAAGCTGCTGACTAGCACGTGGCCCTATCTAGAATGGGCACTAAATACCATCCAGCTGCAGTCTGTCTGATACAGAGCCCTGAGGAGTTCCTAAACAATGGCATGTTTGTGCAAGGCCCACAGCAGACACAGAAAGTCAGGTATCTGTCTTCAACAGCTGACACTTAACAGCCTGCAGTAACTTCCTTCAGAAAATGAACAAATCCAAGATGTGTGTTTCAGTGGTTTTACACAGAGGGGAAGAATAAGATACAGCTACCAAGAGATTGCAGGGTCCACAGTTTAGCTCTCCCTGCAGAAAAAACAATATGGCAAATTATGCATAGACTTTGTCCCCACAGCAGTCAGGAGTGCAGAGAAATCAGAATTTCACTATCATTTTAGAACACAACAAAGAAAAAACACAATACCAACCATGGGAGACATGGCCATGTTAAACAGCACTTGAAAATTAGTTAGTTCTTAAAATTTTATTAACATCTGTCTACAAGAAGTATTTTACTTCCTTCCAGGTCCTTACCTGCTCCTTTCACATTAAATTATTAGCTGTATTAGTACCAATTTTACAATTCGAGTCTCTAATAGAACAATGTGCTTGACTTCAAAGGTTGCCTATTACAGCAAATTGCCATGTTGGAATTCAACATAAAGAGCAGATGATTTCTTACCTTCTCTATTTGCAGCTGAATTTAGCAGAGACTGTGCATTAGGGGGTCCTGCTACTGCTGTTGGCGGCCTTGGTGGACCTCCAACTGGTGGGGGTCCTAAAGGTGGCCTTGGAGGGTGGAGTGGAGTTAAAGGCTGAGTCACTGGTGGAGGTGCAGATCCTGTAAAGAAATTAACCTTTAGGAAGAGTTTAACCCAGCTGAAAAAAGTCACCTAAGTTTTGTTAGGAAAACACAGGGGCTGAACTCTAAATATTCCTCTTATTCAGAGGATAAACAGCATGAGAGACATAAACCCTAATGTGTGTAGAAGGTCTCACAACTTCAGGTTGTTTCTCAGGCTGGGTTCCTGTAGCTGTTGATCTGTCAGCTTTTTGTTGCTATTGTTGGCAAGAATTTCAAGAGGTACAGAAAGCATTCAAACTTCATAACTGAGTCTGGAGTGATCACCAAATGAGCTAAATTAAAAGTGATCATTGTTCTACAAAAAAATACCAAGGAAATCGCTCAGGAGGATTCACCACTGAATGGATATTATTCCAAACACTTGCTCTCACTTCACATGCCACTTTCCAAAATCTCCCACCATTTTCCTCACTAACTCCAGAGTTATTCCAATTCAGTGCCAGAAATAGTTTCATAAATTTTGTGAGCTTAGGACATTTTGAAAGGCATAACAAAATTAGTCAGGCATATAACAAAAAAACTAGCATCAAGAAAAGTCTCTAATGAGGCTAAAAGCACTTCACAAGAAAAATTATTAGCTTTTACATGGAAAATATTTCTGTACTTAATTCCTGTTCGCATGCTCAGTCAGAAAAACCTCTGTAACAACAGACAGCAGTTTGGCAAAGAGAAACTTGAGTATTAACCGTGTTTCCACAATAATCACAAGTTGCATAATAGAGCTATTTAGTGTTAGAAAAGCTTTACCACTGCATATACCAGCAGTCAAGCAGCAGGAACAAGTCTCAGACTTTTAGAGTACTTTCTAAAGACTGACAATTATCATCAAATGTGAAAATTGCAAGTTTGGAGGGAGGAAGTTTTACATTGAACTTTTCATTTTGACAGCACAGAATACTTTTCAGTTTTCTTTCCAGGCTGTGCTCCAGTTTTTTGCATCAACCTGACTTAGGCTGCTCAGAAAACAACCTGAATCAAGTGATTACAGAAAAGCTAACCATGCTAAAAGGAGACCAAGCTAAAAGAAGACCACGCTCACTAAACAGAACTATAGTTCTTAACTGCGAAGTCCTGGACTGAAACATGTTAATGCTCCAAGAGCCACCCCAAGGAATGGTGAAGGTCACAGAAACACCGTCCCAAAACAATGAGACACCATTCAGGAGTTACCTGCTTCAGCCAACTGAAACACCCAACCTGTGCACAGAACTTCTACTTCTACCCCAAAGAAAGCACCCCAGTATTTCCAATGGCTGTATCTGCTTTGAGTCTTGTTCCACAAGCTAAGTGCCACTGCAGAGTCAATTCTATCCTCTTTATTTCAAAAGGACACTGAGAAATGGACATTGCTAAGACATCCAGAGGGGATGGTTACCTGGCTTCATGTAGCTGTTCTGAAGCTGGGGACCTCCCGGAGAAGCAGCATATTGGTAACTCCCTGGGGGATTTGTACTTCCTGACAATGACGACGGTGGCTGAGCTGACCCTGGCCCTGGCCCATGAGCCAAATGGCTTGTTTGAGCCCCAAGTGGCTGACTCACAGGAGGCTGGCTGTACTGCCAGTTTGAAAGCACCGGTGGGCTGGCTCCAGGGGGAAAGCTTCCAGCAGAAGATAGAGCAGCTGAGTTCTGTAACGCGGGCGGCAGCAGCACTTGCGGAGCAGGACCTGTCTGTGGTACTGGTGACCCGGAGAAAGCTGGCACTGGGGGTCTGTTCAGAGTCTGGCCAGGTCCTTGATAATTGTTTAACTGAGAAACATTCTGAGAGCCACTATAGTTATACTGTCCAGGAGACTGATGTGGAGGAACCTTCGCCGGCGCCTGATGGGGGTACGGTCCTGGAACCGCAGGGTTGTATCCCTGGCCATCGGGTGAATGCATCAGCTGGTTCTGAACAGGGCCTGCAAGAAAGAAAACTACACTCTTTAGGAAGTCAGTGTGGTGCATCACTTCTGAAAATAAGAGATGTTTTCCTTGGGATTTTATGAGTCTCCAGGCCATTTAAACAGTCAGGTGTGACAGAAGTATTGCTACAGGGGACATGAATTTGGCAGTATTTTGCTATCAACACTTAGATCTTTGTTTTGTTCTACAGTAGCCTTGCAACCACTAGGCATTTCATGCTCCTGGACTGAAATTCACCCAGGATACCATTTGAATCTTCAGAAACACCCAAAAGCAAGCTGACCACAGAGGAGCACTCTCACACAGCTGACAGCAGCACATGAGCAGACCGAAAGCGGAAGATCCATTGCGTAATAACTCCATTTCACATGACGACTGACATCTACTTAAACTTCAGCTTACCACAAAGACACCACCAGCCAGCTCCAGCATAGGTCACCACGCTACTTCTCAAGTGACAGAGTTAATCTATGAAAGTTTCTGCAGTTAATTTTAGTAAGAGAACTATTCATACGCATGTGAGCGGCCTACTGTCACCAACACGGAATGAAGGGTAAGTTTATCATAAAATAATTCACCAGTCAGGAAAATAAAACTTGATAGGTTAATGATGCTCTTTATGCATTTGTGGGTTGGTATAGCTCTGCTGAGTTTTACTCATTTGAAGAAAAAAAATTGAAAAAAGGGTTAATAACTCTGCAAATAGTAACCAACACCGGCAAGGGCATCATCCGATTTCTGCTTTACCAGGGAACACAGAGATACAGAATCCCAAGAGATTTCCACTGCAATAAGAGCTCCATCAAGAAAGGTACTACTACAGGTTGTCCATACCATTGCTACAAAACAGACATCCTGAAGAGAGGCTATAAATTCTCTGAAATCCTTCTGAGCACAATGCACTAGATACTGCATGCCCAGCCAGCCACGACTCCTTCAAAATTACCAAAAGTCTTCCCAATGTTGTATTTTTCTGTTTAGCCAGTCACATTGTGGCTCTCCTTGTCCTCTAAACACACAGCTTGAATACTGGAGACATTCCACACACACAGTTATACATGTGAGAGCAGAAAAGAACCTCTTTATGGCTCAGAGTTAAGATTCTTTTCTTTGCAACCCTTTACTGTTTTCCAGATTTCCAGATTTAGTTAATATTTGAACAATTTTTTTGAACCTAGATAAACAAAAGCACTTAATTCTCCAGACCAGAAATGCCTGCAGGATTCAACACTTAAATTTTAAAAAAACATGTCAGAGATATTAGCTTGGACAATGAATACAGATATATAGATATCTATCATATGAGTACTTGTGGTGGTTTCACTCTAGTTCCTTCCTGGTTACAAGCTGGTCTCCAGGAAGGCCTAGAGTGAAACCACCACAGTACTGGAAACAGCTGCCACCAGAATGAAGTCACAGAATTTCATTTAACATTAAACCAAAGACAGCTGGTTTCCTACTGAAACATTCTAGTTAAGTTCTGAAAAGTGAGCAAGTTCACGTTTCCATGTTAAAACAACTTTGAACTCAGGCTATTCTAACAATAAATTAAGCTAAATGCAGAATACATTGAAATTCTCAGTTAGGACAAACACTGCACTGGTCATTCAGCTCCTCAATCCCTAGGAAGCCTTAGGCTCTGGGTCACAGACAGGTGGTAATTCAGGGAATATTGCACAGATCCACACTAACTACTACAGTGCCAGTGATCTCATCCTCACTCCTCTACTATTTGTGCATCAAAAGTACACACCGTCCATTCCCCACCCATTAATTTCAACATGCAATTTATGATTCAGTTAGGAAATCCAGTTATAACCTACTGTCCTTACAATGCTGCTCATGAATCTTTGCAATCAGTCATTCTCTACAATCAGTGGTGGCTCACAAAGATGAAAATGCTGTTATGACTCACCTCCAAAAATTACCCTGCAGTGTATCAGATGGGTTTGCAACAATCAATTTACAAACCCCATTGTCAATGAAACTCGCTAACTTTAAAAATGATGGAGAATTCTTATGTGATGCCAAACCTTCTGTCTGCATTCACACACACACTGATGCAACAGCATTACCATAAGCTGTATGAAAAATACAGAACAAATACTAATTAATTTCCTAACTTGATTATTCACCTTCAGGCACAACTCTGTAGCCCAGACAGGAACCAAGAGTACTTGGATTGCTCTCTTATGCACTGTTTTCCTGCTTGAGGATAAAACAGAAATGAGGTGATACCCAAAGCCGACCAACTTGATATTTTCTGTGGCACCTTACCACTACTACTACTAAAAAAATATAATTCACCACAGCACAATGTTTCAAATGTCAATTTTTAAAATCAGAAGGATGACAAAATGTCTCGATACCCTCGTGTAGTTCATGTTTCCAAGACAAGCCTGCATAAAGCTGCCAACAAAGCTAAAGAAATAGCACTGAGGGGCAAATCTGCTCTACAAAGGGTTTCACAGCACACAAAAACTGCTCAGGACTCGCTGGTTTGTTGCTGCCAGGCTCCCATCTTGACCTGACCTCTTTACTGAGGCCCATCAAAGAGCATCTGGGCCCCCCAGCTTTCCTCAAGTGCTGCTGGGTTTTGTGAAGCCAAGAACAAACAAGGAATTCTGTGTAGGCTGAAGAGCTACTTCACCTGCGCTAGACACTCAAGAGACCAGAGAGATGAGTTAGTAACAGAAGAAAGGCCACCTACTTAACAGCACAAGACACCTCTAGAGCAACAGAAGGTCATTTAACGTTTCTAAGAGCTCAGGAATGGCACCAGAACATATACGAATGTTGCCTGGTGGTTTTATAAAATGGTCAAAGTACTAATGAAGAAGGCCAGGATCCAAGTCATATTTTCTGCCACACACAATTTCACTGCCCCCTACTCCAAGCCAGTTCTTTAGCACATCACTTTCACCAGCCACAAGCTTTCCAACCTCCAGGGAGATGCAAGGATAAACACTCTGAAAAGTTACATCCCAACAGATGCCACGGGATCAGTCACCACCAGTGACTCCAACCCACTGGTTTCCAAACCCTCCTAAAGCACCTCATTAAATGCCACGTTAAGATACCACATAAGAAGAGCAAAGCAGTTCTAAAAGAATTTTTCCTCCTTCTTGTTTGCACTTCAGATCTATCAACTGGAAAGCAAGCTAGAAACCTGCCGTTAAATGAAAGCAGAATCCTGGCCCTATTAAAAGCCAAACAGGAATGAAGGAGAGGAAGGTTGTTGCCAAGCAACCCGATGCTCCTGCTAAACAATTTCCTGGTCAGCACATGGTGCTGCTCTGATAATTCACTGCCTTGGTGGACAGGCAGGGAGTTACCTGCAAACAGCTCAGCAAGCAACAAGCTGTGAGGAAGGGCTGACAGCCATATAACAATCCATCATTCTGCTGACAGTCTTCTTTCCTCACAGACCAGCCCCACTACAGCACTCTCAACGCTGTTTTATAAAGCTGTCAAGGATCACAGCACCTTCTCAACATGTATCTTAAACAGTGCTAAGAGCCATCCATGCTTGAGCAATCTGATTTATTTGAAAGACCAGCAACCCAAATCTTACCTCTAACATACTCTAACAACTGTCTGACTCTTTTACCTAGCATTTGCATAGCTCTACATTTCAGTTCTTTGTTTTTCATGCACCTGACAGCTGAGTAGCCTGAAATTCCTCTTCCTCCGACTGCCTCTCCAGAACTTTCATTATGTGCTTAATCTGACACCAGGGAAATCAGCAAACATAAAGCACTGCCAGCCTGTAAATCATCCCACTCAGTCACTCCATTAGCTAAGGCTCCCTTTGTGCAGGCTCTGCTCAGACCATCAGCTCCCAGAACAGAGCCTCTCTCCCCACACTGCTCTCCCACACTTCCCACTGCCTTGACCCCAGAGGCAACTCCACAGTTATTTGTGAAGTGTCATTTTGCTGATGACTTTGAGGAAAAGCAATAAACGTGCTGGGAAGGAGGGGGGGGGGGGAATCAAAAGATCTCATTATAACTGAGTTGCTTATGCTGCAGCAGAGCTACTGAGACACACAAGTGTATAATTAAGGAAGCAAGTGCAGAGGATGTGGGGTGTGTGTGTGAAATCAGGAGACACAGCAGCACAGATTTGCACACATACAGCGAAAACAGATACAGACAGAAGGCTGGCCTTGTATGTCTTTATTTCTAGCTTAAAACACTGGCTATAAGCTGTTCGTTTTCACCTTGAGTATCTTAATTTCATAAAGGTATATTTCGCGAGGAAGAAAGTCACTAGCACCTTCCCAGTTCGCAGCACAGGGGAGCAGATAACGTCGGCTTTACGGGAATGACAAGATAAGGGAGCCCGGCCGTGGCGCAGGTTGAGCTCAGCGATAACCGCGGTGCCACACGTACAGCGCCGCTCCAAGGGTCAAACCCCGGGCTGTCACCGCGGGGACCCCGCGTGACACCGGGCGTACCGGGGGCGCTGGGCACGAACAGAGATGAGAATGAAGGGTTCCCGTGCCCGATGAGCCGCTCTGTGTTTGTCTCAGCGACACCGCGGTCCGGGCCCGCTCCCGGCTCACACACGGAGCCGGCGCCGCTCCCGCTGCTTCCCCGTGTCCCTACTCGATCCCGCCGCGCTCCCCTCGGGCCGCGGGTGTGTGGGAGTCGCTGAGGGCCCCGCCGAGCCCGGCCGGGTGTCCCCCAGCGAGCGGGGCAGCGAACGGGCCGCCCCGGAACCCCCTCCCCGCGCTCTGCCCGCGGGCACCGGCCCCGCGCCCGCGCTGCCCCGGGGGAGCGGGACGAGTCCGGAACCGCCCCCGGGGCTGCCCTCGCGCTCACCGTTGGTGTAGGGCCGTTGTGGGCCGGTCGGTGCCCCGGGCTGGGCCATGGCTCGGCCGCCGCTCCCGCACCGCCCGCGGGCCCGGGCGGGGGCACCACGCACCGGAACCGCCGCGCGCGCAGCCGCACTGCCGACACGTGGCACTTCCGGGAGCAACGCTGCGGCTCCGCGGGGGCGGGGCCGGGGGCGGGGCCGGACCGGGGGCGGGGCCGGACCGATCCGAACACAGCCGAGTCCAGCCGAACCTGTCCGGACATAGCCGAACTTATCCGAACGCAGCCGAACTGATCCTAACACAGCCGAACCCGGCCGAGCCGAGCTCAGCCGAGCAGAGCCGAGCTCAGCCGAGCAGAGCCGAGCTCAGCCGAGCAGAGCCGAGCCCAGCCGAGCAGAGCCGAGCTCAGCCGAGTGCGCGCGCCGCGGGCGCCGGTGCCGGAAGGAGCGGCGGGGGCGGAGCGGGCGCAGCCGCGGGTGAGTGTCGGTGAGTGCCGGGTCTGTGTGTCTGTCTGTCTGTCTGTCGGTGTGTCCGTGCCTGCCCGTGCCGTGTCGGTGTGTGTCAGTGTCGGTGCTGGTCCGGTCCCGGGGCGCCTCAAGCTCGGCGGTGGGTGAGCGCGGGGCGGACGGGCCGGGGAGCGGGGGCTGGGCGAGCCCCGCGGGGCTCCGGGCCGTGCCCGTGTCCTGCCGGCAGCGGCCTCGGGCCGGGCCGGGGCTGGGCGGGGGTCCCTGAGAGCCCCGGGGGCCGCGG